ATTCCTCTATAGTTACTTATCATTCTATCGCATTCTTTTATTGTTTCTTTATTGTTTCTTACATTGCATATTTATCAGTCCGTCATCATCTTTAGTAGTAGATTTTGTTCGGACAGTTTTAATGTACGGAATACTCCTGTTAAACTATTAAATTATTAAATTATCTACAAATTATAGGCTATTGCGAAGGATATCTATTAGTATATAGTGAAACCCACATCGACGTGTTTGACTGTACATCTGGTGACTGGTTGCAAACGCTCAATGTGAAACGTGCCCGGCCGCTAAACGTCTCGGGCTCCCTAACGTCTTGTGTGATAAATGACATGCCGCATGTCATTTACTTGAGTAATTTGCATCAGCGTAAGTATATCTCGCGCATAAGCAAAGTATTGCAAGCGCAACACGGGTCTCTTCACTTTTGGCGCTACGTCGTTGTCATTCAATAATATTGCGCGTCCCGTGCTAGGAGAACTACTGAATATAACACCACTGGACGCAAGCGGTAGACAAATGACAAGGCCGCGACGTAGGTTCTCCTTGAGAGAAGGCAATCGCGCCGTTCGTCCTACCGACAGACGCTCGAAGATGATTTCCGCACCGACAAATTTCAATCATATCAGTCACATGGGTCCAGGCAACGGAATACAGGTGCGTCCAGACAGGAGTTCGAAGCTTCGAAAACGCTGCTTTGTGTGATCATTTGGCATTTTACTTGTATTTATGAGTATAATTTGCGAATATACATATCTTACATATGTATCTTCTGTATCGTATTACAGATACAACGTTTATTAGACCTACCCACTACAATAGAAACTGCTGATCAACAACATACGACCGGTCACCATAGTAGTTCTCATCTTCACAGTAGCCAACAAAGAGTAAGTGACACGCGAGTTCTTTACTCGATACACCAGACGCAGATTCCTCTATTTTTAAGACCCGAAACATAATGAATGCAATAAGTCCTTGGCTCTCAACCCAAAAACTTTAGATAGTGTAACGTTATTTCTGGCAAAAGTCGTTTCACGCACTACTAAGCGTTGCAATTCCCAAGCTTTAAGTATTATCACGACTTCTGGCAGCACAGGAAATTCCTTTTGTCAGAAATTATTTTGCGCTCAGAGCAAGAGACTAAAGGCTTGTAAACCGTGAGCGAGATCTCTTGATTTCTCCCTTTGCCCACAGCTCTATGACTCTGCGCTTCAGACGCCAAGCAAACCGGCACCGCTGCCTCCTAGGCATCCTCCTTCCGACACACGTCGCTTGAGTTCTCACATGTCAAGAAACTCTGGATACTCACCGCACAACGGTAAACTTAAACAGGATATTCTAGAACTGTTGCGAATAGTCTAAAATGACCGATTTATCAGAGCAAGAACACATTTCTCTCAAGTGACAACGCGCTATGCGTAAAAGAAACAAAAACGTAGCGCCATTTTCGCGCAATATGTAGTCGAGTCTGATTAGGCTCAGACACGGCTCTGCATTGTGCTTAATGTTTCACGAACTTATACACAGGTTCGACGACATCACGAAGAGGCCCCGCACCACCACGACCAACCGCTACGCCACCGTCTCTACCGCGCACTCCAGTAGACCAAATCGACTCCGAATCGGTACACTTGCGCTCACACACACCCCTCTCTCTCGGCAGTATCGCATCTTTGCATAACAAGGTACGTGAAGATGACTGTAAGAGTAATTAGTGCTCTCGCGAATTAGTGCAATCTATTGCAATTCATTAAACCTATATATTCATCGCGATGAGAATTTTGCATTCTGCAAATGTAGTTTGCACATGTATTTCTGTTTTATTGAGCAAAAAAAAAACAGACCGTGAGTTCAGATTCATTCGGTCTTCTATTATATAAAATATATTATATAATATATAAAATATATTATATAAAATATAATATATATGATATTTGTTTTTGATATATTGCGGATTACATGCATATGTTGTTTATACAGGAGCATCCATCTGGTGGGAGCCCCAGACACTCGATAGCTTCGAACAACAGTTCAAACCCATCGACACCACCGAGTCCCGCCCACGATCACGGATCATCGTCGTATGATTCATAAATTTATTTAACGCTTACGAAGACCTAGTTAGACGGTATGTATCTAGTACATACTCGAAAAATGATCTATTTATCGTATATATACATATAACTATGCGCGCGCGTCCCTATAATACAGAATGTTTCGAGACAACGTTGACGTCGTCCGAGGATTGATGAAGGACGGATGGTGCGTTTTTAAAAGGGAAATTTTGCTGTTGCAAAAAAAAAGAGGATGAAGTTGCACGGAAAGTATCAGTAAGCTGGGCAATTTATGAAGGCAGTCTGGCCTCAGTTTCTCGATAGAATGGTGCCGTCATAATGTGCTTCCACATGCGGAATTAATCTATAGTAATGAGTTGAGTTGATTTTCCATTTTCTATCTTTGACGTAAAACAAACGCGAAGGCCTTTGACGCACTGCAAGTCTGGTGGCCTAAATACTGCTTAATTCCAAGATACTCTTGATACAACTTTGTCGTTTGGCTCTTCGGTATCCTCGATCAATCCTCGAACATTAACACTGTTGTTTTGAATCACTACATATATATATATATATATATATATATATATATATATATATATATATGTAATTATACATATGTAAGGTCAGTTTTAATTCGCTTTTTCATTCTCCAATTTTTTTTAATTGTTGATAACGCGTTTATTTTATAATCATGACATTGATTAATGAACGGTCAGTGCAGGAAACTTGATTATTTGACAATTCCAAGCTTAATTTGTGAAATTCGCGAGCCTAATATATATATACACATATTTATGACATACTTTGCAAAAACGTACAGCTTTTGTTCGTTCTTTGAACAGAAAAAATGCATCGCGATATTGTCTTACAGTCGTGCAATATGATTATGCATATTCAATGTTAATATGCTGTATGAGACAAACACAAATATGATAATCATTGACGAATAATACGCTGGCGCGTTGTTCAATTGTTCATATAAACTACAGTGAATCTACACGAGATGCAACAGTGCGTTCAATATATTTAAGATGCTTAAGTTTACATGTAGTAATTTATATTTATATGACTTAACGGAAAAAGAAATTATTGCAATTATAAATTATTGTAAATATTTTATATACTCGAGGTTCGTTCAATTCGCCTTGCGATGCCATACTTTTTCTTTTTTTTTCTTTTTCCCTCTTTTTTTCTCGACAATTCTTATTCTTCATGTCGATGAGATTGGTTTCGCATTTTAAGATTTCACAAAATTGAAATGTCAGTCAAATTAACTAGCAATAAAATTTAAACTGTTTAACGTATTGTACGCGTATTCTGGACTATAGGCGAAATACAGTAGCTACGAACGTTGAAATATATCTAACAAAATCCGTCGTTACACCCGGAATAGCTGCTCGATTTTATTTATGCTGCAATAGTCGCGCGGAGATCACGCTGCTAATACGAGACACCACGCGCGTAAATGCGTACACACACACACACACACACACACACACACACACACACACACACATACACACATCGTTTCTTGTATAAATTCCGTATACTGTGTACACTCTTTGACGCATGACGACACGTCCTGCCGACACTCTCGAATCTCCGAATTTTGTTTTCAAACACATGTTCGTTTTTGTCACTCCGGAATTGCTACTTGCGTGCGCGCGCGCGCGACTATTCCCGGTTTAACAACGCATAAGAAATTAGATGGAGCGCGGAATCGATTCGATGCCTTATGACTAAGTGTTTTCTATCGCGTCATAATGCACTAATGTATAATGGTATTATTATTCGGCGTGTGAATAGTAGAATGAACGTGTAATGTGTTGCGAGCTCCTGATGATAATAAGTAGCTGTTAAGAGAGAGATCGTTTGCACTCATCCACGTGGCGTGTAAGCAATATATATACGCGCGATCGCGCCGTGTCGAGAGGAACACGTGGCAGGAAATATGTATCGTGTGTATCGAGTTACCCCCGTCCCCCTTCCTCCTCACCATCACCCTACAAACTGAAAATAGAAGGAGCATTGTCCTTGGATGAAATACCCGTTGATTATTTAATCGAAGACGTAATCACCAATTAACCGAATTTTAGCGCGGATCATTTCGTAATGATAGTGTGACATAGGAAAGAAATGATTGTACACACATACACGCACACACGTATACACATATGCATACATATTAAATATACACGTACCAACACATACAGCCTGACGATTCCTAAATATATATAAAGAGCTACAAGTTAAATATGTTTAAGTGCAATGTATCGAAACTAGGGACAATGTTAATAATGAGGAAAAGGCGACGAAGAAATATTTTCATTGAGTCAGGACGCCCTAAATTGTTCTCTTGTAAATTAGTGTATGCGAATTAGGTTTTAAGTAACGTAAACGCGTATGTTACGAGACTACAATGCTTTCGTTACTTTTATAATAACGAGTGGGTAAAGTGCCAGTATGCAAGGTGTAAGACCAAATGGAACTAATTTATTTCGAACGAGTATATATATATTCATGTTTCGTGTAATTAACAATTTATATGATTACTATACTATCGGTTTCTTATAGCTATATATCTAAGAATGTGAGACGCAGAGGTGGAGCTAAATAATTCGGGAGGAGAGAAAAAGAAAGAAAGAAAGAAAGAAATTTCGAAACACTTAAACAAGTTGTGTACGTTTATGAAAGATCTATCTATCTATCTATCTATCTATATATATATATATATATATATATATATATATATATATATATATATACACATACACACACACACACACACATACACACACACACACACACACACATATAATATATATATATATATACACATATATATATATAATATATATATATACATATATACATATAATATATATATATATATACATATAACATATATACATATAATATATATATATATATATATACATATATTTATATGTATATTTATTAAAAAGACAATTATGAGGAAATCATAAGGGTTGTTACAACAAGACAACTGTCTCAGGACTTTATGCCAGTAGCTTAAGTACGGAATAACATTTAACCCAGTGATCAAGAGACTCGCGAACAAACTGCTGACAACAAAGTTTCGGCATTTCATCGTCACGCAAAAACGCACGACATAACGATCTTTCTTATACATATATATATATATTAGACAAAAAAGAAAAACGAAACGAGGAAGTGCAACAAGTAGTAGCGTCGCCTAGTGTTAGTTTACTACCGTGGTAATAATTGAGCCTCGACTGCTGTAGTGAGGTCCGATCTGACCGGATCGACATAATCGTTGCAACTCGTTTTCTCTTCTCCCTTTCGCGCACGAGATTGTGCTCTTGATTTCCATTTGTTACGACGAAGCATAATAAAAATAAAAAAGAAAGAAAGAAAGAAAGAAAAAAGAGAAGACAGACAGACGATCGGTATCGGAGTGTGACGCGCGTGACATACAAAACGATCGAGATCAAAGGTGAGATCTCGCTATAGCAGTTACTCCTCTAATCAAATTCAGTGATAGCAGTTGAGAATAAACATCGAAAAGAATAAGTAAATAAACAAAGTTCTCCGAGCGTTCCCGCGCACGCTACGGGCCGTTTGCTATGTTTCCGATTGTAATTTCGAGTCCGTTATTATATACGCGTGTCTTGTGACTCAATTTTAAACGAGGAGACCCGCACGGATACGCAAAGTTGATAAGCGTTGGCTGACACACCAGCGTACATCGATCGAGAGGACGTACAGAATAGGACGTGCGCCTTGTGACGCTCAATTACGAGCATACGCGATGGTCCTTCAAACATACTCTCTTTCTCATACATACACACACACACACACACACACACACGCATATACAGGTTATAAATAACAATTATTATAACGGCTATAGACCCAAATAGCCTTATTCTAAATGGACAGGAGAAATGTCAATATTAAAAGAGACGGTCGGTAGCGATACAACGTAGGAAAGAAGAAAAGAATTGTACCGTATATACGCACTGTTGTCCGTACTGAGATAAAAGCGAAATGTGAAAGACGTTTTAGAGCGAAGAAACTCACAATCGCAATCGAGAGATATATAATAATGAACGTGTCGCTGTACTTACACGATAGAATCCAATATGATCCGCCTATCTTCCGTTATTGTTACTTAAGGGTTTTAAGATGAGAGATATTGACTGTTCATAATTTTGTTGTCTCGTCATTTTGTCAAGTCTAGCGATCGGTGCATCGACACACGAAAGGAATTGTCATTCCTGTATATAGAGAGCATTGATTTCATATCTTTGTAAATAATTCGAGCTTTCGGTCTACTTCTCCATTTCTATTTCTCTCTCTTTCTCTCTCGCTCTTTTTCTCTTCCTCTTTCTCTCTCCTCCTCCCCTCTCTCCCTCTCTCAAGTTTATTTAGAACACACAATATTCCCAGCGATCACAGTTGATTTTTCGAGCCTGTCGTTATTTATATCTGCCGTCGGGCGTCGGGGCTACCGAGAAGAAGATGATGATGATGATGATGATGATGATGATGATGATGACGATGACGATGATGATGATGAAGAAGAAGGGATATTATCCGGTTTTGTCGTTTTATATGTGTATAGGAAAAGAATGACGAATATCATTATACATATATTATTTTTACCGAGTATCGAAATGTACGGCATTCTGCGCGACAATAGATTATGTATTATGTATACAGATTGTACGAATGACTAGCATTTTTTACATAAGCGGATAGTTATCTTTTTAACCCTGTATAACCCAGCATAATTTCCAAGTAATAATCTTCACGGCCGGAGGATTGTCATGTTGCTCCAACGGAGGCCGGTTGATCGACTCTTTTGACGGTGGTTTTTATTCAAAAGCGACATCGTAGAGAAACGGCGTCAATTACTTGTCGTGTATAGAATGAGCGCTACGCTAAACATTCTATAGTAATAATAATGATAATGATAATAATTGGGTTATAAAGGGTCGAAGGAACACAGCGTTCTAGGCACGCTATTGTTAATCTGTATTAACATACGAACAATACGATTATATTATTCGTCACTTCGCAAGCAATTAGATTTAGCGCCTTCTCTCTCTCTCTCTCTCTCTCTCTCTCTCTCTCTCTCTCTCTCTCTGTCTCTTTTTTCCCTCTCTCTCTCTTTCTCTCTCTCCTCCTGTCGTGTTATTTATAACATACGCATCGTTTGCAATATTTATTAAAGAATATATAGCAAAATATTATTTGCGCCTTGGATGAGAGTTGTACTTTATTGTAAATTATCGCGTGCGAGCTAATTATTAGCGGAAAGGAGACCAAACCATGTATTTAGTATCTCGAGCCGTAACAAACGCCTATATATGTAGATTTTATAGTATTTATATCGTTTGTCTTATTCTTTCTCGTGTGACTACCAAAAAGAGGGTAGTAAGACGTACATTATATTTTTTATTTTACTCATTGGGAATTTTCATTTTCCTATGTAGAAGAACTATATTAATAAAAGTAAAAGCTTATACCTTTTGTATTTTCGAATGTCTCTACATGTCGAAAGATTTTCGAACAAAGTTTCAAAGTGTTCTCTTATTCTTCCTGAGGTGTCATAACCTACATGTCATAACTATGTAAATCTCCCGAGTATACTGCAATACTGTCAAATTTCTCATTTGTTGGCGAGTTTTTGCGTAAAATTTCATGTCAGAATTGGTTATGTGCATAATGGAATGGTTGTATGTGTTATCGAAAAAACGTTCATAACTTGACGATATGTAAATACATGCTTTTGACGTCTCCTTCCACATGCCTGTGCGTCATAAACTTCGTAATAATCAGTGCGTAATTAACATGCGTGAACTCGAAATTCTTGCATGAAAGCAGTGAACTTATCTCCACGTTATCTTCAGGTGCAGCAAAATTGCACCAGACAGAAGTCTGGGGTGGTTCTCATTCAAACTGCCATTAATCTAATCAATATGTATGCCGTTGAAAGCGACCAATCATAGAGCCAACGTGATGGATGGTGAAACGAAGGAGTGGCCACTGTGTGTGAAGTTTTACGAAAGAACGATTCGGCGTTATGATTGGTTAGAAATGTATGCAAGGAGGATGGAACAGCCGCAAATGTGTGTGACTATCTTGTTTATTGTGTAGTGAAGAACTGTCTTCTCCTTCGTGTTGTTTATATTTTATTGCATTTTAGTGCCTCTCCACTTATGAGTGGAGAAGTGGTTTCTAGTATCAATGGATTAGATATTTGACATTTACTAAAACTTGTAGTGGATATCTCGTAATACGGTGATGGAAACAACAAGAAAGAAATTAAACACTGAGTTATTTCAATATTGTTCGTTACTGTCTACATGATCTGTAATAAACCGCAAATTTTGGCATTTAAGTTAATGTTAAAATATTGTTAGGCGTCTATTATGGAAAACAAAAGTTGCAATAATTTTATTAGTTATGTAGGACTCGAAGAGCATGAGATTCAGGTAATCCTAATCACATTTGTTTCATGTAAACATTATTATTTATTAATTTATGAGAGGATATTAAAGCATTTTTAAGTTTGCTAATCAACACTTTTTCTTTTTATAGACTTTGAGTTCCAGTCGACGCAATTCCTTAATTGAAAATAGTATAAAATTATTACCAGGAGAAGTTCTTATTGCTGAAGCCCAAAGTGTTCTTATGTTTTCACCAGTCAGTGATTTGAAGCAAGGCATATCAGGTGTACTATCAGTGACTAATTTTAAACTTACCTTTATTACAAGCGATGATTCAAATGGGGAGGTAATTAGCATGTTGTTGTAACAATAAGTTTAATTAAAGGGCAAATATTTGAATATAAAGTCTGTGTTTACAGGATGTTACTCACCAACAAAATCATCTGTATGGTTATACAGATACATGTTTGACAAATATTGACGAAATTTATATAATGGTGGGTGACAAGAAAAGGAAACTAGTTCCTGGTAATACAGTACCCTCTAAAGTAAAAGGAATATTCATTATTTGTAAAGTAAGTTCTTTTTTATTTATAATATACCAAGACTGAAAAAATAACTTTTATAAACTAATATCAAGAACTGTAATGATTACACATTAAAGGAGAGATACATTAAAAGATACAATAAGAAAAATACATATATGTATTAAATATCAGTTCTTATGCTTTGGATATATTAGGATTAGGAGTCATTATTCCAAGTTGAAACGGCTTTGTTTCTATGACTGTTATATGTGATTACACACACAACAAACATTCCATACTATATTATAATAATTACAGAACTTAAGAACATGGTCTTTCTCCTTCAAATTTTCACCTCTTGGGCATGGTAAGAATCTTCTTACTGCTTTGCTGCATCATGCTTTTCCTAGCAGGCATCAGCTATTGTTTGCTTATGATTATAAGTGAGTATGACAATTTATGATTGATATTTTTAAGAAGAAAATGTAGTATATATACCTAAATTTATAAATAATAATATTAAATATATTTAATATCTAATATTGGCAAATTTTAATGATTAATTTACAATAATTTATTTTGATGCAATTACCTTGAAACAATTTTCTTTTTATTACAGGGAAGCATATTATAGTAGCCTTGACAAAAATGTTCAACTGTTTCGAGATATATCGGATTGGCAAAATGAATTAAGAAGAACACTGAGTAATGATCAAATAAGGAAAGCTTGGAGACTGTCCACTGTTAATGCCAAATTTCAGCTTTGCCCTAGGTAACTGGCGTAAGATATATTTATACAATAAACATATATTTTATATATATTTATTACATACTGTATATTTTGCAGTTTATCGCAATACGTAATCGTACCTGCTTCTGTAACCGATCGTCAGTTAACAGACGCGGCTAAACATTTTCAAGGTAACAGACCTCTAGTGTGGTCTTGGACGAGTGTATATGGAGCAGCGTTAGTAAAAATGTCTGAATTGTTACCAACGATAACAGAGAGGAGGCACGAAAACATTATGTTTGAAAATATTCGTAAGAGCCATCCTCAGAAGATGCAGCCAGTTGTTATTGAATTAAATAAAGAAATTAATGTAAAGCTAATAGCTGTAGGTTTTTCTAAATTCATTAGTTTATGTTCAGCAGGTAAGTGACAAATTAAACCGTGTGCGATATCCGAAGTGGTTAATGTGTTTGAACGTTCACTAAGAAAAAAAAATATCTACACATTTCAGAAAACATTAGACAATTTTGGGTTCAAGATAATAATTTTTACTCGTTGTTAGAAAATACAAAGTGGCTTAAATATATATCGTATTGCTTGCAAAAAGCAGCCGATGTCTGTGACCGTCTTAATTTAGGATACTCCGTCATCTTGCAAGGTATGACTCGTTAAGGTAATCGCCTGAATGTACAACGTTCAGCCGATAGTTTGCCGATCAACAAAGACTCACTTAGAAAGTTATCATTTTTAGAAGGTGCCGGTAGGGATTTATGCTGCGTTATATCCAGTTTAGTTCAACTATTACTGGATCCTCATTTTCGTACCATCACGGGATTTCAATCGTTATTACAAAAGGAATGGGTTGCTGGAGGTCATCCGTTTTGCGACAGATTAGGTCATATTGTTAAAACTAATTCGGAAAAGGTATGCATGATACATTAATTTCTCTTTTAAAATACGCTTAAAATACTCTGACTCTAAAATGATTTTCATCATATTTGTGCACAGTCTCCGTTGTTTCTCCTGTATCTCGATTGCGTTTGGCAATTGTGTCAACAATATCCGACAGAATTCGAATTTACGGAAACCTACTTGACAACGTTATGGGATACTGCGCACGTTTCTATTTTCGACACCTTTATCTTCAACTGCGAAAGAGATCGGGCAGTGGCAGCTATGGTAAACAAAGTCAATTCACTTTTGGGCGTGATGGCTCGCGAATAGTCGACGCGCTCGCGTCGTATCTACGTCGTTTCAAGTAAATCGTCTCGCTCGACGATATAGTTTGCATGATTATCATGTCGCTATGGAAACAATTCTCTCCCCATAGAATATATCAGTAAGTGTCTTCACATTATATAGCGGCCAATTCGAGCGTCGTGTCCTTAATGTTTCAGGATCCCAATACGCCTCTCGTTCTACGTAGCGTTTGGGACTGGCGGGAACAGTTCAGCGATCAAGACATCTTGTTGTTTTATAATCCTCTATTCGTCCCTCGCGATACCAGCAGAACGAACAGCAGAGCGGTCATAAAACCTTCCTGCGCTATTTCCAACTTGGAACTTTGGACGCAGTGCTACTTTCGTTGGATACCGGCGCTCGAGATTCATAATGGCGGGCAGAGGCACGTCGAGCTCTACGTCAGGTTGCTCCAGAACGACGTGAATCAACTGAAAATCAACATAAACGGTAATTGCGGCTCACCTGTGGACAAAGTCGGTATCTACTCCCTTCACACGAACATCGATAGCTTTTATCCCTTCAGCAATAAAAGATCGGGCAACACGGTCAGCACCCCGATCATGAATAGTTCGATTCTCATAACGGAGAGCCTATTAGACGCACAATCATTGATAACTGCGACTGACTGATCGAACGCTGACTGTCGTATACAATTCAGGACGTACCTGATTACATTCCCCTCTTCCTCCTTCCTTTTACGGAATCTAATAGCGCGAAGCTATCTTCTAGGTGATTTTTCCTTTAGCATTAAATCGCACGTCGCATTCTTTTATATAGCTCGTTAAGTTTCAATATTAATTATCATAGTAATTTATTCTCTTAAGTTAAGACTCTGTTAAAAACCAACGAGCATTTGAATGAAGTAGTGCGCAAAGAGCTTCTTCGGTGGCTTTTTTTTTCTTTTATGTAAAAAAAAACTATCGGCTTCTTTATTGAAGAATTTGGAACATTTTATAGTTGAAGAAAAAGGATGAATTTTCGAAAACGATATAAATACTGAAGTTATTTAATTTTTTGTCACTCGATATGAATCTATATTAGAAGGTAGATTTTTTATGTTTCTCAGAAAATAGGTTTTTAGCGTTAATAGTCGCAGTCGAGTGCAGCTTGCGCCTTTTTTCGCAAAACTGTAGAAATATTTGTATTTCCACGAGCTTTATGTATACTCTGATAATGAATATTAGATATTACCAAGTTGAATAATTTTAAGAAACGCTTAACGACGGCAAAACATCGATACTTGTACATAAATTGCAACGCGAATAGAAGAAAAAATAAATGATTTTGACTACTTTCGAACATCTTTACATTGTTACAAGTCGACAAATAAAGTTTGTAAATAGACATGTTGTATTGTGCGTAACATTTTGTACTGTAAGCTTTCCGTCCTATATATTATTTAATTTTTATTATATATTGTTTTTTCATGATATTCGATATTCATTCATATATTATTCTCGTATTCATATTTGTGTGCTCTAATGAAGAGTGAAACTGATCATTCAACTTGCCGTTTACTCGAATTGGAACGAAAACAGTGGATTGGCTGTTATATTAGTTTCAAAGTCGTCGCTACGAGTCGCTACCGTCACTTTAACAAGGAATTGTTTTTTAGGGATTTGGATTGGTGATAAATTCAATGTCTCTAGAAAACAACTTTTCCTATTGGATACCGAGGCTGCGTTCCGATATTCACTGTCAGCACTGAAATTCTATAGTATACGTGACACAAACTATGTATTTTTAGTACTGGCAGTGAATTTCGGAACGCAGCCCGAATATCGTATAATGATAATATCATATAGAGAATAGATATGAATTGAAACTGTGGACGCTGCGTAAAACTCTCGATACTTCGGTCCGATATTTGTGCTCACACGATGCACGTCACGTCTAATGCATTTATCATATGAGAAGTACGTATATAAGACATACGTTAGAATAATACACGTCATGAGTGAATTGGCAATTTAATCGTTCGTATCACGATAAATTAGACCAAAGGTTGAAAACCATGTAAGACTTTCGCAAAGTCACTTTCTACTTTCACCGGAGTATGTTCCACAATGATTTAAGAAACGTCAGTGTATTGTAGTTTCTACTTCGGACGCATGTTGATCTTAAAATCGAGAAGGTAATTTATTTACACAAAATTAGCTGCTTCATGCAGTTTAATGTCATTTAAGCTCTATGAATCAAAAAATCAATTAGAAGGCCAGATTTGAATTAGACTACAGTCGGAAATTGGATGTATATTGACAAAGGAAATATTTTTCTTTTGTTATAAGATCGATTTCCAAAATATAACACTTTTTTCTTTACTTCTTTTTTTCTTTAATTACAATTTATTGCAATTTATTGCAAATCATGTTTCTGTTGTTTATAGGTTAATCGCGTAATAAGTGCTTAATCATGTTGGATAATTCTACTGCCATTCGACGTCCAAAGGAACAAACTTCTACTAATGGAGCTCAAAGGAGTGCTGGAAAAAAAGCATCTAGTCCAGCAGTGGAAGATAGTTCGAGCCATTCAAAAAATGTCTCATTGGATGCGGATCATTTAACACTCTGGCAGCATCCAATTATAACGTTACATTATTTCCTTAACGAAGTGTTCATTAATTTGATTAGTTTAGCAAAGAAGACATTACATTACAAACGGACAGTATGCGCTATAATTTTAATTATAACACTGTTTCTTGCACTAAGCAGAATTTCTGGTCCTCAACAAGAGGTATGTAGGAAACAACTTACTTTTAATCACCAGTGGTTTAATATAAAAGACAATTTATTTGCTTTTTGCTTACAGATTTTTAAGTTATGGGAAGCTAAGATTATGTGGTGGCTATATTGGATAGGACTAGGTGTATTATCAAGTGTAGGCCTTGGAACAGGTTTACATACTTTTGTGTTATATTTAGGACCACACATTGCAGCTGTTACTATGGCAGCATACGAATGTGGAGGTCTAAACTTCCTTGAACCACCATACCCTGACCAAATAATATGCCCAAGTAAAGTTGACCCAATGTGGACAGCAGGCATATTGAATATAATGAGTAAAGTACGTGTGGAGGCTATGCTGTGGGGAGCTGGCACTGCGCTTGGCGAGTTACCGCCCTATTTTATGGCCAGGGCAGCAAGGACAAGCGGACAAAGTACTAAAAATGAAAATTTCGATCAGGAAGATTTGAAAGAATTGGAGGCCTTGGAAGCACTAGAAAACGGAGAGAACGTGCCGCTTATAATGCGTATAAAATTAATTATGAAGCGATTTGTTGAGAAAGCTGGATTCTGGGGTATACTGGCTTGTGCGTCAGTATGTATCAGCAATGTTTATTTCTTCAACATAGCAACAGCGAGGGCTTTAATACTGATTTACTTAATGATGATTATTTAATGATGATTATTTATAGATTCCAAATCCGTTGTTTGACTTGGCTGGTCTGACATGCGGACATTACCTCATTCCATTCTGGACATTCTTTGGTGCCACTTTGATAGGAAAGGCTGTTATTAAAATGCACATACAACAGTTAGCAGTAATCATAGCCTTCAATGAAGAACTTTTAGATAAATTTATTAGTTTATTAGCGGTTGTACCGTTTGTTGGTACAAAATTCCAGGAACCATTGAAGAAGTATCTCATTGAACAGAAACAGAAATTGCATGATAAGTCCTCTGTGGTGAGTTGTTTTTTAATAGACATAATTACGCATAGCATAATGGCGAAAGCAACCTTTTGAAAATAAATATTTTTACAGGATGGAACGACTACTATATCATGGTTGTTTGACAAATTTGTAATGTTGATGGTCTGTTACTTTTTAGTGACAATTATTCACGCATTAGCGCGAAATCATCATCGTAGACGAACCAAACCATCCGTTGATTAGAATCCATGGTGCATAGGATAATTAGTTAGAAATATAAAATAAGTTTCGTATATTGCAACATATATGAGAATATAAAATTTGTTTTCACAATGAGAGACAAATACGGCATGTAAGAATGTAAGAGATGTGTTGAAAGATTTCCATTTCTATGGTTTCAATGTTGCATTACAAATACAATATTCACACAATAGTGAAGTATTAAATAGGTTAGTCTTTTTTCCTTGATTTTTTCTGTTTGATATTGATTTTATTTCTTTTTTATGCTTTCATTTTTGTTACTATACTCTATAAATGTTGCAAGGATATTCCTGCTATGCAGGTGATTTACATGTATATAGACTGATGTCTTTTATAATACAAGGTTTATGTACAGTGCATAAAATAAATATCTAAGTGACATATTCTGCAACACTTGTGCACTATCGGTTGATATTCATGTTTCTGTATATTACATATATATACATATATGTATATGTGTATATATACGTATATATATATATATATACACATACGTATATAACACTATATATATATATATATATATATATATATATATATATATCGACGAGGCTGTCAGGGATAGAATTTAGTTTTTTTTGCGATGAGCGATGAGAGCACCCTGTAATCAATAAAATTTAATATCCAAAAAAGTCAAATTTCTATATATATTATAAATTTTGTATATGCGTCTAAGACATAGACATGATGAAAAAGTTTAAATTATCTGCCGATGCTTTATCATATATAATAAAAAGAGAAGTATCATATAATAAATGACTGATTTAGGAGAAACAGTAGATTATTATGAGTAAAAGACATGTAATGAAATATCAATAACGTATGCTATTCAAGCGTACGGTAAAGTGTATGTATGTGCATGTGTGAGTGTATGCGTGCGTGCGTATAAACGGTATAATACGGTGTATAAACGGTAGCATGTATGTAGTATACATAGTTATTGTAAAGCTTTTTTATAATATATAAATACTGAATACCGTACGTGGGGAGGATGTTACGAAATTTTAGCGATAAACATCGATATTTACAAAATTTATAATATATGCAATACACACTGTAAGCATACTGTTTTTCAACGAAATCGATCTTGATCAATTAAGTTCCATTTTTTAGCCCTGGTATCTCGAAATGTTTCAATGTGCATCGAAATCCGCAATAAATGTCAATGTTTATAGAAGATATACGAGAAACGTACAGCCGAGCCTTGCACAACATTCATTTCCGTTACTTGTCACAAACACGGACATTCACGGGCTGCTGATGTAATGCCGCCTTTGTTCGCATCTCGGTGATCTTCGTACAGCCTCGCGTGTCAGCATGTGGTCTCGGCCATATTTTTCATCAAAGTGCGCCGCCTTATGAACGAAAAGTGGCACAAACGCGGCTCGTTTTTTGATTTATATACCGAGCGGTCCGAGTTGCAGCTGGAAACGTATATCCAGAACCGCGAAGAGGTATCTGGGACGAGAGCGCGACTTAGGCTATCGTAAAGAAGAATTCTTGGCTTTGAAACTGGCCGACGCAAGACTTATATCTCGTTAGGCTGACGTTTATTGAAATAGTGTTTCAATAGCGAGTGAAGTCTATAACGGCGGGCTCGATATTGGAATCCTTTTTTCCTTAAGATTTATTGTAAATTTTATGTAAGGGCGGTTCGGCCTCCCCGCGGGTTGCGAAGGAATTCTTCCATCTTTCGATGTAATCCGACACGCAGAGTTTTACCGTTAGATAATGTTTAAATTAAAATCCGCACGAACGTGTCGATGCGATCGGCGCGATTTGTCGCGCGGCGAATCACTTTCCGGATCCGGAAAATGATCCGTCGAACGAAGATATGAATGACGCGAAAAATTAGCTCGAGCATGCTTCGTCCGAAATCACGGAATGTGCGTGCCTGAAGACACTCTAGTCTCCGACGAGTTCCGAATGATTCGCGGCTTGTGACATATGCTTGTCCGGTGTCCGGTTTCGAAAGCCGGAGTATTTATAAGCTTACGCGAAGTATATAGCTTAGTTCTCTCGTGTAAATGGAATTACTACGAGCTTAACGTCGCATTTGAGCACTGGACGAGCGATCTGTCGTCACTCATTACGATTGATGCAAAAGATTTGTCGTTTGCTCACCAATCTCTCTGATTTATAGGAAGTTCGATCAATGAGAGAAAAACGGGAAGATTCAGCTAGGTGTCTAAAGAAAAGCATCGAAGGTTACATTTATTGTAATTTCATTCATAAAAATTGCCGATATCTCGAGACTGGATGATCGAAACGCGACAAGTCTCTCGCATCAATCTAATATTAATTGTCTTGTGAGAAATAAGACTTGGATGTTCAATAAACGCAAGTGGAAAGGGCCACTGAGAGAGCCTGAGAGGGTTCTCACTGGTCCTTTTGAATAATTCACCTTCTCGTCCGAATTCCATTTCAATTGTCTCGTCAGCTGCGGAAAGTCGCGTTTGCCGGTGCCAATCTGCGACGCTCGACGAGTCAGCGCACAAAAGTTCGCGCTGACCGATTAGCGAATGTGAGAATTCGCGAACAAAATGCGCGATATCGCACAAAGGCTCGCACGGATTACTCATCGCGTGCATCGGCCTTTACATTCATGCGGCTCTGTGGGGGACGAGTCGAACGGTCGGTCAGCCAAGGGTTCTTGGGATAATCTCGGAAAAGCGGGATAAATAACCAGACGGCCGGCAGACTGATCCGTTTACTCGTTTATATTTGGATGCCGGCGTCTTCTGCTGCCGTCGCAGCCTCGTACAAATTATACCAGTGTGTCATTCCGCGTCGCAAGTTTTATGCAATTTCACTGACGTAGTGGCTGTTCAGCTCGATCTAAGTCGGGCTTGGGAAGCGGAGGCTGCGATCGCCGACACGCTCGGTCACTCGTCGCGTTTTCGCGTTGGAGAGCTCGTGAGGTTTCACCGAGGAAAATCGCGAAAAACAAGAACGAAACGGGAGACATCTTCCCGGTCAACCGTTTTCCGTGAGAAGCGTCGAACCTTTTTTTCGTTTCTTTCGAGCGTATGAGGGAAAAGGAGAAAAAGAGAGAGAGAGAGAGAGAAGAGGAGATTCGGCGAGCAGGGTCGAGCGAGAGTCTCACTCGCGCGAGTTTCCCATGACAGAATGGACGGATTCGTGCCACGTGATACTGTTTTGACGGATACTCGCTCGCCGGCGGAATCTCGTCGGGGAGCGACGAAATCAGAGCGTCATGGGAGAAAGACGAGTCTCTCTCTCTCTCTCTCTCTCTCTCTCTCTCTGTCCCGCTCTCTCGTGACTTGTTCCTGCGAGACGGATACTCTTTAAATATTTTCCCTGACACGCGGGACACTGTTGTTATGAAAAAGAGCACAGTCTTGAGAAACATCAACTTCCTCGTTCTGCCCTTAGGAAAGATTACTTTAAGATATTCAAATTAACTTAAAGTTACTTACAGTTACGTAAAGTTACTTATAGTTAACTATAAATTATTTACAGTTAACTATAAGTAATTTTAAGTTAATTCGAACATCTTAAAGTAATTTTTCCTAAGGGTAAAGCGCGTGACTGGCAGGATGTGATTAATTTCTGCTTTTAATTCGGGAATGAATCGAGAGTATGAATTGAACGCTGGAGAACGCGATTAGTTGCAATTTATACTTGAGGCAATAATTGCCGCGATAATTACGTCGTGAGAGCGAGAGCGTTTCGGAAATTTGAACTTTCCCGTGGCGAAGCACGATCAGCGGAATACGGTTAACTTCGTTTTCAAGTCCGGAATTAATGGAATAATATACGTCAAATACGCGAGCGCTCGAGCAAACGGCTAAATTCAATATGTATCTAAGATAATTATCGCGATGATTTCGTCGTGAGCAGGAACGTCCCGAAAAACGTGAGCTTTCCCGCATCGTAGTAAGATTAACGGGATGTGATTAACTTTCTCTTCTAATCCCGGAATTAGCTGAATACTGTGCATTAACTCTTTAAGGCATAGTGGTAAGTATACTTATCACCTATTTATTCTCCAGGGTGTTTACTGCCTGGAAAAACCTGGAAAATCAGGGAAAAAGTCCAGGGGATTTTATTGGAAATCAGGGAATTTTTTTGAATTTGTTCTTTTTAAAATTTTCTTATATTATAATAATACAGAACAGGAAAGGTTTTTGAAAAGAAAAAAGAATTTAGAAGCAAAGGAGTTAGAAATAAAACGTATACAAATTTTAGAAAGTGCGCAAAAAGAAGCAGAAGCGCTTCAAGAACAAATTGCAACTTTAAAAAAATAATTGAAAATTTCTTTAATATTAAAGTGCGATGTAAATTTTTATTATATTTTCGCTGGGTAACGTAATTTACGTTACCCAGCGAAATTGATAAATTTTTATGTTTTGTTTAAACTTTTATAAATCGAAAATATAAGGACAAGTTGCACAATAAATATATATATTCATTTATAAGACGCTTAACCCTCTGCTTGATTCGTAGATTTTTGGGAAATAGTAACAATTAGAATTTACTGTAACCTTCGATTGATTTAGAGAGGTGAGGCCTAAAAATTCCATTTAGGGAAATCCTAAAAATATTTCCTCAAATGAAAGTTACAGGCATCACCTCTAATTTAATCAAAATTTACAATAAATTCAAATTTTACTGTCCCCTGGAAGACGCACGAATCATGCGGAAGGTTAAAAAAATACTTTTATTTGACCTGGAATTTTTAACAAATTGCCTGGAAAATCAGGGAAAAGTCAGGGAATTTTTTTTCCAGATTTGAGTAAACATCCTGTTCTCACATTTTCATGAAATATTTCATATTTGAGGGATTCTTGTCGGGTTTTTTGCGTTTCTTAGCTTCTTATATGATATGGGAATATACATGAAAGATTGAAAAGTGTTTTGCACAAGTTGTCCATTTATTATAAATAAATAAAGTGTGAAAAATATACATTTTTACAGAAAAAATCATTTTCCACGAATTATGAGTGAATTTTTTGCTCAAAATCAAGATTTGGGGGATTTTTGGGTCGCTGATTACGAATCTCAAGTCTAAGTTCCAAAATTAATTTTCCAAGATGGCAGATCATAGAATTTTTATTAAATTAGTTAAAACCATATTCTGCTTAGTTTTTGAGGTCGTTGAGTACGAATCGGAGGTCCAAATTCTAAAATTTATTTTCCAAGATGGCGGATAATAAAATTTTTATATGATTAGCTGAAATTGTACTTTGGTTGGCTTTCAAGATCGCTGATTACGAATCCGAGCTCTAAAACTCATTGTCACCGAAATTATCGCGATTTTTCATATTTGTGGCCGCCATCTTGAAGCCGTCGTCTTGAATTTTGAAAATCTGATAACGATTCCCAATCAGCGACTCAAAAAACCCCGCAATACCCATTGCCACCGAAATTATCGCGATTTTTCATTTTTGCGTCCGCCATCTTGGATCCGCCATATTGAATTTCCCGTATGTAAATTTTCGTGTGATTCGGATTTTCTGAAAAATACGTGCCTCAAAGGGTTAAAGCCAAGTGAACGACGATATATGCGTTAAATATACGAGCGAGTGCTCGGGGAGATATGATCAAGTTAAGCTCTCATTTAAGATAATTATGGCGATAATCTCCGCCGGGCTCGCGCTTGGAGCGAGCGCGATAATGAGGCAGCTTGCCGTTTTTCGTATGCAAGTCGCGATGGGGGGGCCATCATTCGCCCTCCGACCTCTCCGCTAATTCGCGAGTGACCTTAAGTTTCAATTACGAGCGATTGTTTCGTGTTACGAGCTGAAAGCGCCTTTTTCAGCGCTCCATCGGCTGGACCGGACGTGGGCCAGTCGGGGAAACAAACAATTCGGATAGCGCTGCGCCCGCTTTAATTTCTGGGAATCCCACTTGGACGGCCGATTTTATAGCGCCGGCCAATAAAACTGTCGGCTAATTGTTGGCGAGCGCCACGCTCATTACCGACTTCTCGGATTTCAAAAGGAAAAATCCTGCGGCGTTATCGGACGACTGCGCGGGTCGTCGGGGGGGTTCAGCCCCGAAACACATGTCGATCTATATATAGACCATTAAAACATGCGTGCTTTCGAATCTCTGACGCCTCGCGCCTCGACAATGGCACTACGTTACAATGCCGTGACATATTTGCGTATGCATACCGTGTTATTAATATCGGGAGAAATTGGCCGGTGCGCGCGAGGAAAGTACGTCGTATAGCGCTCACTGACGAGATTGTCCGTTTCTACGGAGATTTAAATCCGTACTCAACAGTAAGTCAAGTCGCGATTATCGTGACGTGCTTTCATGGGAACTTGCGTGAGAAGTTTTGCACGAGACGTGAGAGTGTTTGAGAGCTGGATCTTTTGAAGTACCGCTGAATTTTGGAAATTTCAATGGATGTAATTAATGATGGGTGTAATTAATGCTCACTTTTCGGACACTTAAACCTACATACATTCAGTAACAAATCAAGTCGACACAGTCGAGTTATCGTGACGCACTTCCACGAGAAATCCCATAAAAAATTGTGCATGAAACGTGAGAGCGTTGAAGCTCCCCGAGTACTGCGGAATTTTTGGGTTTTGGATGAATATTATAATTAACGAGAGCCAATTTCACGGGAAGAGACAAGAGATATCTGCTATCGCGACGAGAAATCTCGTCATCTTAAAAAGTATAACCATGATACAGAAATGACCAGTTCGCGTCATTGAATAAGAGCCGAACGAAAGTTCGACGACGAGAAATGACATCCCCGTTGACCTCGACCGAAAAACTCCGTCCGTGCTTTATCAAAACTTGGTCGAAGTAATCGGAAAGAATTGACTGATCAGAAAGTTTCCGCAGAAGTTTCGCTGTTCCCCCAACCGAGTTTTCCACCTGCTCCCTATTCCCCCCCTCTAAGGAAGGGGAAAATTCGGCTACATTAACGAAGTTATTTCGTTCCGTACAGGACTATATAAGAATAATAATCGCAATTTCTCACAGAACTCGACGTTACAGCAAGACAGATTCTCACAATTCTGTCCAGCGAGTAGATTCGCCGGCGGTCCCGAGCGATTGATTTTCCTCAGTGCGATGCAGGTGCCTCGTTCGTCCGAGGTCGCTTTATCGGAGATCCAACCTCGGACGCTGCGTATACGATGCGTGCATAAAGCGACTTACGGCGTTTGCGGGGCCCGTGGACGGAAATAGCGTTATGGCGTACACAGCCGAGCTCGGCTCGAGGAGGAGACGCGGAGAGATCAGAAGAGTAAGCGTGGAGTACGGGGGAGAGGAGGGCGAGCACCGCAAAATTTTGTCCGGAGAAGACGAAGAAGAGGATGAAGTCGAGGACGAGAAGAAGGAGGAAGAGGAGGAGGAGGAGGAGGAAGAAGAAGCGGCAGGAGAGGCGTAACGAAGTGTACCGATGAGAAGACGACGAAGGAGCGAATCTCTGGGTGAAACGGAACGGAGGAGGAAAAAGAGTGGCAGTGTGCGAGTTTCGAGGGCGAACAGGAGGGGCAGATGGGATAAAGCGAGGACGAAACAAGAAGAACGAGGGGCACGTGCATGGAAGGAGAGGGAGAAAGAGAGAGAGAGAGAGAGAGAGAGAGAGGGAGAGAGGCGGAGAAGACACTCTCTCTGGAACTCTTCCTTTTCTACCGGGACAGGTGCATGCCTCTATTTCGGCGGTCGCCGACGGCGAATATTTTGTCCGATCTCGCAGCGAAATCGCGACATTCCACCGCACGTCCCTTCTTCTCCCTCTCTCCCTTCTTCGAGACCTCGTCCTGCTCCTTTTGGTCTCCTCTCGGATCCCTCTTTAGCACACGCGGCCGCTTGCGACATCCTCGCGTCGTCGCGCCGAGCCGCATCGCGACGCGTCTCTCCTTCGCGCGCCGATTCCTCCTCGCGAAATTGCATAACGCGCCCAAACCGACGGCCGATTGCGTGCGTGACGGCGATATCGATTCGCGAGAACGACAATTTTAGTCGCGTGAGACGCGTGAGACACTCATGAGACGCGCGCGCGCACCTACGACGCGGCTTCTCTCGTTCCGCGTCCGAAAAGCTGGCTATTTTGGATTTTAAATATAGCCGCGGGTGTGCGCGACTTCCTCGCTTCGCTCCTCCCCCCTCCCCTGTGCGCTTCACCTCGCTTCTCGATGACGGCACTCTCGGCGCGAGAGCACTCTCGATATAATAAAACGTTGGAAATTATCGCGTCCGATTAGCGCGCTTCGCGGAAGTGCGGCGACGACGAAGATATCTCCTTCGGATCTCCCTCGCCTCGGCGTGATGATATTTCTTCTCGCTCGTCGTTCTCGTCGAGAATTTAAAAGCGCGCAGACGGGCGGGGATAAAAATGATCCCGCGTGGGGCGCAACGGGAGGGAGGAAATGAAAAGAGAGAAAGAAGGAAACACAGAAACGGCCGCGAAAACTCGAAGAACTCAGGAATGCTGGATTCTTGGCGCCGGCACGTGGAACGACGCGTCGCCCTCTCTCTCTCTCTCTCTCTCTCTCTCTCTCTCTCTCTCTCTCTCTCTCTCTCTCCCTCCCTCTCTCTTTCCTCTCTTTTTCCTTGCGCGTCGCACCGTCTGTGTTTCGTTTGCGCCTTTTCCTACGGGCTGCAGCGTTTTGCTTTCTTTATTCACGCGCGTGCCGAACGCGTTGCACGTTCCGCGGGAAAATACCGGCGCAGGTGTGGCGCACCTCGAGCGCGGGCAGAAAAATCCCGCCCTAATTAAGTCCACTGCCGTCGGCAAAGTCGCGCGTTTGTGCTGCCGACGGACCGGCGGAGGAAACGGCGGGACCTTCGTGCGTTTCTATTAATCTTGGCGCGGAGTCGTGGTCCGAAGAAAAAAAGAGAGAAAAGTATTAATTAGCCCTCTCGGAGACGCGACGCTTCTTGCACGAGGACACTTGTGAATTCGTCTCGTTTAATCTCTTCAGTCCCGCTCGTCCCGTGACCGGCGGCGGCGGCCCCTCCTTTCTTGTTTTTCTTCATTAATTTGACGCGAGAGAGTTTATTTCTTCCTCTTCATCGCTCGCCGGCGCGTACGTTTACATCAGACGACGACGACGACGACGACGACGACGACGACGACGACGACGACGTCCCGAGAAAATGGACATCGCGCCTCTAAGTGCGAGCGAAAAAATGTCGGGCGCCGTCCGGTGAGAAACGCGCGGCGACGCGAAAGAAGAAGAAATCGGGAGACGCACGCGTACGTGTCGCACGCACACGGTCGCACGTTGTGCGTACGAAAACATCAGCATGTGCCGGCTGACTGAATAGGGCGCCTTGAGAGACCGCGAGATTTATCGATGCATTAGTGCTCTCGAATTCGGTCGGGCGAGCTGCCGCGCCGCGCCGCGCGCGGCTCGTCGCAATTTTCAGACATACCGCGGGAAAATCTCGCCAAGGTCGCACGTTCGCCCCGGCTTGAGAAGCGCACGGTGAAAAAAGGATTTGGCGAGTTTCATTGTCGCCGACGGTCGACCGATCTAAACTCCGACTAGAAGTTAACCAAAACAATCCATTTCAGCACGGATTAAAAAAATAATATTATACAGTAACACATAATGAGATGTATGAAAGAAAGATTCCGAAGATCGGCGACGAGATCGAACGGTAGCGAGTTATTCCTCAAGATGGAGTGGAGGGATCCAGTGAGTGAGTAGCGTTTTTACTGGGGTCAATTTGAATATTGCAATTAAATAGATATGCTAATTGCGGTTTTATCTGTAAAATTTAAACAAAGTAACGATGACATTTTATCAGGGTTATTTGTAACGCCGTTACTGGTATCGTTACTTTTTTACGAGTAACGATTAGGTAACGCCGTTACTTTTTTGTGTCAGTAACGGAAGAGTAATGGCGATACATATTTTTTGTAACGAGTAACGAAACATCCGTTACTTTAATCGTTACTTTCTTATTTTTATAAAATTAAACTTAATTGTATTTAATTTCTACGCATTTCTTGTTTTATGCTGGATTTAGGGAGAACCAATAAAGATGGACTCATATATTGTCATCCATTGGCCATAGCTATACAGGAAGGTTTAAAAGAAAGGTAAGTCGGTGTAATTTGATTAACACATATGTTCATCAAACAACATTCATCCGATCAGAAAGAAAAATCAATATGTTCATATTTAATTTTATTGATTTAACTTTAGGTTTTGTACTACATTCGAAAAAGAAGAATTGATAATTGCCAGCTGTTTACACCCCAAATTCAAATTGAGTTGGTTAGCCGGAGATAAGCGAAAACTTACGCAAACATATTTAGAAGATTTATTAGGAATTCCTTCGGCTGAAAATTCTTTGATGTCTGATAAGCACGATGATAACGATGACCTTTTTAATTTCAAACAGCAAACATCAAATGAGAAATCTGCCTTTGATGTATGGCAAAGATTTTTAAAGTCAACAGGCACTAATGTCCAAATATTAAATTCATATCTACTGATTAAGAAACTTTTCATTAAGTACAACATTTAATAACATAAAATAATAAAAATATTTAAATATATATATATATATATATATTTCTAATCATCTTATGTCCGATTTATATCTTGTCTTAGCATCTTTCTTATAATCCTGAATTTACAAGAAAAAGTAACGGAAAGTAACGAAGTAAAATATCGTTATTTTCAAATAGCGGTAACGCGTTATTTTTTAAGACCGAGTAACGGTAACGAATTACTTTTTACCGAAAGTAACGGTAACAGTAACGAGTTACTTTGAAAAAGTAACTTTCCCAACCCTGCATTTTATAGTTCGATAGAGCCATGAGCCAACAAATGAAATTAATCGAATCGCAGGAAAAAACAGTCCCATAAATCTCAAATAAATCTCAAAAAGACTCAACCTGACACTAACGTTCGATAAGGCTTGATTTTTCGATGGAACGTTCTGCCAAAAATGGCTGTTCCCGTGCTGTATCGCGGATTGACAGGTCATTCGAGTTATCCGAGAGGACCCGAGTGAGATGGTCGAAAAATTCACGGCGCGAAGTTTTGCGAGAGAATGGGGGGGGGGGGGAGTAGAGTGAGAGGAGCAGTGACTGCACTCGAAATCGACGAATTCGCGAGATGACGCGCGCTTACAAATCGTCGTGATCCCTCCTCCGACAACAAACGCGTTTCCTCGAACAAGGGGTGCGGGCGACGCGTTAACACTGCGATACGTCCCATGGGGATGGTCGGGTGTGTTTACGACTAATCAAAATCGCGCTCGCCGCCTGGATCAATTAACTGGGCGATGCTACTGCTGCGGGATCTCTAACGATCCATTCGCGAGCGGGACGCGGATAGGTTGACGCTTTTTACAGTTCGAACGGAGGGTGGCGGGAAAAACCTTAGCCATGTGAATCATAGCAGCCACGCGAAAACACCATAAAAATCATGCGTCACGATATGGCAGGTCGTGAGTCATCGCGCCCACGGAAAGTGGTCGCTTGTCTTATTCGCGAAGATCGCACAGATCGGCAGCCGCGCAGCACAGACAGGTCTGAGAGGCGCCTCAGAGGTTTTGCGCGAGGCGAGACATTTGTCACGGCGCATAGTGGATCGAAACGGTGAAAAAAGTGGACGACGAGCCAAAAATAAAAGTTTGAATTTCACAACTTCATCTACTAGAATGTATTGTAAAATAGTTGTAATATATGATCCGAATGCAGAAAATATAAAGTAATGAGTAATACAGATACTGTCGTCTAAAGTCTCGAGTTTCTGTGATAAGTAAAATGTGTTAAGCATAAGTTGTCCATTTGTGTTCGCTATATTTTATATAAATAATTATCGATCCTTGTCTATCTTGTGGTACACAATTCTATGGTTCTTCGAGAACGTTTTTATCATATCCGTTGCCAGATTTTGTTATATTTTACGCATTTTTCTCTATGATGAATTAGAACGAAATCGTAACTCAACTCATGTGTGTTTATTGAATAATTAAAAAAAATGTCCATATTTGTCCAAGATCTACTAAATAGGATTTAAAAAAATTATTCATATAGTAAAAGACCGTACAAGTTTCAGCTGCGATCTCGTGCGATCTTTTTTCCTATACATCGTATAGTGAATAGAAACCATCTAACCTATTGTGTACAATTGTACATGAATGAAAATTCGGTTCGGAGACAGAATTTCGCCCAGAAATCATTTGTAATGAAAATTTCAGTAAAATTTCTGTTTATATTTTCATAATATTTTTATAACAATATATTTTTTATTGAATTTTAAATATTCCTGTTTGGTTTCAAGTCAGCGTCACATAAATAAGAAACGAGACATAAATTTTGTTCAATCTGTTGCAACGGATTGAAAAAGAATCGCAAAATTTCGAATAGTCCTTTCGTTTAATCCTCTAGTTCTATTCATACACACGTAATCAAAGGATTTACGAAGAACCTCTATGCCGTATTGTTATCCTTGGCTGTTTCCACGAATTTTGTTTTACAAAATCTACTAGTCTTGTAATTTTCTCTTGTGTTTTCATACAGATTGTTTAATCTTAAAATTTTCAAAAATATGTAACAAATATTTTATTAATTGAATTTATGCAAGGAGATTTGATATAACTTGCCCAAGGCTTGTTCCTTACCTTCACGTGGTGCTAGCTGTTGAAACCGAATAGGAACACTATATATTTATATATATTCATTACAATACTATTATTATCAAAATAATATACGAAAATATTATAAATAAAATATTTAATGAAAATTAATTTCATTAAAACTTATTCCTGCATTTGTTTCCGAACAGAATTTGAAGTTTCAATCCACTGTGCGGCGATTCTGACGCGTTCGCGAAGAAAAAAAAGGCGACAGATATCGCAACAAAGCTGAGGGAATAAAAAAAGTAAAAAAAAATGTACGAATAAACAGCGAAAAAGGGAGGATACAATAAATGGAGGAGTGAAGAGATGAAAAGATTAAGAGAGACAGAAAAATAGAAAGACGAAACGAAAATGATGCCTGAGGTGGAGGAAAAAGATACGGGAGATTGAAAAGAAAGAAAAATCAACAGTTGCGTCTTGAGAAACGATAATAGTAAGGAGTTATGTTTCAAAATGGGCGGAAGGCTAAACTGAATAACTCTAACGAGTTACCTTTTTCAGTGGGTAACGTGTAACGAGTTACTTTCAGAAAGGAACTTTCCCAAGCCTCCGCTGCCTAGCCATCGCGCGCGCGCGCGCGTATCCTTGTTTTTTCTTTCTCTTTCATTAAATGAGTCGCACACTTCTGTGAAAGAATTAAAAAAAGTTCCGTGGAACTTACCGCGACGGACGACCGAGACGTGCATATGTGAACGTGATTCACACAGCAAGCACCGAGTCGGGTGTAATTACGATTTAACGTCGGTGCCTAGCGGGAAGTCAACATTTCTCGCAGGCCGCTCTCGAATTTTCCTTTTCTCTTTCTCTCTTGTCTCTCCGGATTCCGCTCGAATCGAAAGGGATAACGTGTATCCTGTGATTGATCGATCATCGGTGACGGGGTAAAAAATGGTGAAGGCACACGTCGGACGCGTCACCCTCGGGCAGCTTGCACCGTTGCAGTCGGAATGATATCGACCAGTCTCGATATTTCTTAGTCATCTCGGTTTCGTGCTAGGCGGCTCGCCTAGAAGAACGTGAGTTCTCGTGAGTCACTAATAAGCGGACGAAAGAGGCAAATGGCGAAGGGGAGGGGGAGCGAGAGCGAGAGAGAGAGAGACAGAGAGAGAGAGAGAGAGAGAGAGAGAGAGAGAGAGAGAGCGAGAGAGAGAGAGAGAGAGTGTCCATTTCCAGTAAGTGCTTTCGGGCCTGTACGTAACGCCAGCTAAGTGCCAAATGCAATAAACGCTTAGGCGTTTCGTCGGCTCTTGTTGGACGAGCTTCGATCGCTTCCGAGGAATCGCGTGCGCGGACGAGCTGTGTCCCAAATTTTCCATATAATAATTTCCTTAGAACAGCTCATTATCGTGCGACTCGGCAAGACGCAGTAACCGGGCGAGGTGCAGCCCAAGCTAAAAATGGAAGACAAACGAAGGAGACGGCCCGGAACAAAACGAAGAATCGCTCGCGAGTTTCTCTCATCATACACCGGGGGAAAAAAAAGTATTCGACGTCTGCGATTGTGATGTCGCATACGTGAACGAGCCACGGAGTCGGGAAGACTGAAACTTCCTGTACGCTGAAGAAGAACGCGCTGAGGATCGCTGTACAACTCCTCGGCGCGAGGTTAATCTTTCCTTTCTCTCGCCGTAGTCTCGGATCCGGGGGACAAATTGGAAGTAGCAATTTACGATCTCAATGTGCGCGACGCTTCGAACCGGAAGAGTCATCCTCGTGACCCGCATAAGGACAATTAATCTTCTCGGAAATCGAGAAGGCGCGACACGTGCGAGGGAGTGAGGAATCCACGTGGAGTTGGCTATTAGCAAAGCAGCGACGCGCGTGGAGCCGAGCAACGCTCGCTGAACAGCGCGCGATTCTTCGCCAATTTTATTTGTCATCGTCGTTGACGTTGTCGTCGTTGACACCTTCTCTGGTCTCCCTCCCCCGCTCACTTTCTCCCTTAACCCTTTGCGCCACAGCGGGACATATGTGTGTCCCGCTCATATTTTCTTCATTTTCCGAATATATTTCATACACCAGGAAAAGTGTATCGTTGCGTGAACCAAATCTTTTGTTGTAACAACAAAATAATTTGGTTAAAATATGCCCAACAAAACTGTTTAGTTCCTGTAAACAAATATCTTGTTTGATTACGGTTTGTTCGTATAACGTAATATTTTTGTTATAGCAATCGAAAAGCTTTAACTGTATGAATTTTGTTAAAAATACTATATCATTTTTTCTTAATATATAAAATCTAAATTTTAGCGCACAGAAAGACAAAATAGTATCCATTGGACATTATTTTAGTTCATGTGATATAATATTTCGTTATTATATAATTTTTATGGATAAAATAACTAAAATGCTTAATTTTTATATATGAAGTCTAAGAACAAAATTATTTGGTCCAGAGAACAAAGCAGAAAAATATATTTAGTTGAGACAACTAAATATTTTGTTATATAAAACAAGATGTTTGATTGCTATTAAAAAATGCCTCACAACTAAACAGTTTTGTTAGAGATACTAGATTTTTTTTCCTAGTGTAGAATTCATCAATTTTAATGGTTCTTAAAAAAAATTTCTAAAAAAAAATCTCTCATAAACATACTGTTTTTTCACCTAAATTTATGTTTCTGAGGTCGCTGATCACTAATCCGCTATCAGATTTGGGTAAAATAAAGTATTCCTTTTATTATAAACAAGATATTGAAGCTAAATTTCGAAAATTTGTAGAATTGCGCTGAAAAGTTGATATTCTAAGCATTGTTTTTTTTACAAAGAAACAGTTTTCTATATTATATGTATCATTTTGAAGTC